GTGTCAAGTAAAACATGGGATGAAGTTCACATAGGTGTACACTGATGGACAAAACGGACTTATGGAGACATTTTCTAAGACTAACTGATCACAAGTGCTTTATATGACCATTATGGTAATATACATATCAACAGTCGCCACATGCAGGTACAACCAGATGACGAGTCCGAAATAAGACGAAATGCACATCCTGGATTCTACTGCTAGTCACCATCCACCAATTAAATTCTCTTCTTACGTCTGGAAAGATGCAAAGAGCTCCATTATATTAGACGGTTAACGGAACGCAACAAATTAACAGATATTCACGAACTTCTATTTAAAGACTGGATGTTGGGCAATCGAATGTGTTGACCATTTCACGTATTTGTGACGTTATTTTGCCTTTATACACTCTGCCATAAAAAAATCTTGGCACGGATAAAGACGAAAAATCAGAGATTTGATATGTTCGACTCCTGTATGATCTCCGACTACCCATCGAAGGCAGTGTGTACTGAGGTGAAACAGTACCATCTGTCCTGCTAAACATCTGTAACACACAGTTACAGAGAGTAGAATACATGAAAAGGTAGAGGTTTGATTCTCGATACCCTCAATAATTACTTACATTAGATGAAACAAGATGTTATGTAACACTGAAATTAAACGCAGAATATCATACAAACAAGGTATGTTAGTCAATTAAGCTATAAGTCTTCGTTGGTTGAGATGTGGAATTGGAAACGCCATGAGTCACCCCACTCGAAGAGAAGTGTCTACTGAAGTAAGATTACGTTGAGATACATATTTTGTTGACCACAGTGAAACACTACACCAATCTATGCAGTCATAGACTGTTGGTCCTAATCCCAATTGGCTGTGCTCTTCAAGATACTGAGAATCAGTGATTGCAGAATCTTTTTGACACAATTCAAAGTTGTTCACAGCGTTATGACTTTTTATTATCTTTAGGACTCAAAACATCCCGTCTAGCCGTTATTTTATTATACTTTACCGTACAACCATCAACGTCAATTATATTTTCATTACATTTATGTTCCACTCTATTTGTGCTTATTTTCAATTGTGGCAACTTATATTGATGCACACATCTGTACATCGACCTACACTAAATTTACCATATTTGTTTGTAGGTCAGCAGACAAAAACGTAACAAAGAAATGAAGTTCCTACCTTGTAATGCTGCATCTCCTCCAAGCTGTGCTTGAACTGTTGCAGGCATCAATGGAATTGGACGACGACGACCATCTTCACCAATTAAACTTCGACCAACACACCAAGGCCGTCTAAATCTTTCTTCAGCAGGCATTTTATAGTAACCTTGTGTTCGTGCAGACCCTAATGTATAAATGAGAAATTTTTTAGAAATTGAATAGTGTGGACTTATTGTTGTTGTTGCTTTTTCTAATCATAATACAGAGTCCAAGACACTAAAATGTTAATAAGTAATAACGAAGCTAAAAGTCACTTGATAGAGAATACTGCAGGGTGAACACTTTCCAGCAACAACTGATTGGCGCAATGTATTCTGCTGAGGGCTCTGATGTAAGTAGAAAACCACATCAGCGCAGTCTTATTCATTATAATATTGTTGAATAGAAAATAATTATAACTAGATAAATTATTATTTTTCCACACATCCGCAGTAAGTGGTGAAATTCGATTGTCTTAGGGTGCTAGTTATCTGAGAACAGCGCATAAATGATACGACACTAGTGTAGAGTAATATTCCACATCACGTGATATTGTACGACAAAGGAGATTATTAGAGAGATATATAAGAGCATAGTAGGTATGATGACTTTATATCGTCTGTAGCTTTGGTATTGTTTGGAATCATTTATGGACGATGAAATTAAGAATAATAGCAATAACATTTGTCATAAAGTCTTTATTTATACACAAGTTTAACTTTCATTTAATTATGTTTATGGAATACAAGTCATGTCAGTCTACAGGAATAAACAAATTAACTAACTGCGTCAGTTTGAGTGGATAAGGTTGTGATTATAAATTTAACTAAAATAGAGTATTTTCGAAGATTCAAAATTATTAATAGTTTGCAATAATTTATATGCATACATAATGCATACACTTACAAGAATTTTACCGATAGTAAAAGTGATAAGAAAAAAATTACCGGATGAGTGAATTGGCGGTAAGCACGCCGCAGGACCAAGATGGATATCAACATTATCCTTGACGGTATCAACACTATCATTCAAAGATGCAGTAAATTTAGCTACCGCAATTATTTGGTCATCAAACTTTGGCCAGGAGCGTCTTGACATGCGTTGGGGTACTGAAGTCAAATAACTTTGAGAGCCTTCATTTTTACAAATTGGCCGGTTTGCTAAATCATTCACGTTATGTTCACCAGGGGAGTGATCAACTGACTGATCGGATAAGGAAGAATAAACATCATTTGAATCTGATGATCTTGCGTAGGATCGTTGACGAACAGAAGACTGTTTAGATACAGAATGTTTAGAACGTGAACCCTTATTGTGGTGTCGCTGCCGTACTGATTTCTGACGTCTTGATGACAAATGATGTGATGTGACAAGACGACCATTATCATTAATGTAGCTTTTTACAGTGATAGGGTCTGGGATGAGAGTGGGAGGATGTTCTATCCAATGTGATAGATTTACAAGGGTGGCAACATGAGGATCAGTAACTGCGGTATTCATAGGGAAGTTATTTCGCTCAGAATCTGGATATGAAACGGTATCTGATGGTGAACGACACTTATTCAGCAAAATCTGGTAAGCTTCACATAGGAAACCAAGGTCTTCTGCATCCATACCCAGATGAAGAACGCTTCTTAGTATCTACAAAAGGATATATAAATAGGGGATTACACAATTTCTATAAACACCTAATACGGAGCAGATTCATACTGACGTGCATACAACATACGAAATAGGTAACAGATAGTATAGACATAAAATATGTGATATTAGTGAGTAGTAATCGAAGTTGGCTTTCTCCAAAATATCGGGCTAAAGCACACACTCAATTTAAATAATAAAATCAGAAACGGAGAAAATAACAGTTAAATATTAGGTAATATTTTAGAAAATGTACTTTAAGCCGACCTTAAAGTTTCTATGAGATAATAAACTACACTTGCTGAATTAAAAAAATATCAAGAGTTAGTATATTCAATGATTGATTTACAAGAAAAAGCTAACTAGTAACTGGTAGACAGCTCTCTTAAAATATGTAAAACGACATAAGCGAAACGAATCACACTAACGAAAATAAAGCGCTCAAATACGTTGAGCATTCATTTATTTAAAACGTCAGCACATTTTGGCTTTCTCAACTACTCCGAGATAAAAATTTCAGTCTCCTTAGCACAATTTTGACATAGTTCTAAAGTTCAGCAGCGTAGTTCAATCAAGTACCCACAACAAGTTCTTGAACAGATTAAATGAGATTAGATGTGAGAAAAAATTCCAAAGGAATATTTCGAGTTCTGCTAAAAAGGCAGTGAACAAATATTGAACATCAAGACGTTCACAGATAGACAAAAAGTATGGTATTCCGTGAGGAAGAGTATAGTTTCTAATTGTCACAGTAACCAATAAGACAGGTAAGAATCTTAGTATTAACAGAAGATACACTATAGGCATTTAATTATTTTTTTGAATTTTTATTTTCCCGTTGATCGATTAGACGGAAATATTTGGCCTCTGTTGACATATCGGCTCCCAAGGCAGACGACTCAATGACGTCTGAGGATTAACTTGAAGTGATTTAGTGGACGGTGACTGGCAGTGGGATCCAGTATGCGCATTTCGTCCTATTTATGACTTGTCACCATCTGGATGTACCTGCATTCCCCGGTGAGTGCTGGTGTCCCCACTGATGCTCAAACCCAATACCTATCATTTCAAACGCCAAAGCGTTGACCACTAGAACACTTGGGCGCCGAGAGCCACCTTTTGTGTGGCGGGTGTTAGTTATTATTTTTAATTCAATTTTGATTTTCCCGTTGATTGATTGGACCGGAATTTCGCGCCTCTGATAACATGCCGACTCCTAGAGCGGAACACCAGCACTCACTGAGGAGTGCATGTACACCCACACGACGAATCCCAAATGGGACGAAGTGTGCATTCAGAATTTCACTGCTAATCACCATCCCCCAGATTGAACAAAGCAAGAACTACAGTTTTAGCAGAATAATATGGTACCATCATTTATTTATTTCGTTGGCTTCTCATCAGCTGCTTACAGCCTAAATAAATTATGAGGTTTAAGTACAGACATGTTTTAACATACTTGCAAATTTTTACATGTTGTCAGTTGACAGAAATGTAACTGGAATAACAGAAAGAAGGGCATATCTACAACTTTCTGAACACGTACCAAAAAGCTTACGTGCCATCGCCAGGCATCTCCTTGACACGGGTCATGAGGTGGACGTCGAAAAGTCGTTCAAAGTTATCAATAGGCAAAAGAGCTCAATTCTCCTTAAGTTTGCTGAAGCGATTTCTATCAAACGCTTGAAACCAGATCTATGTGTTCAGAAAGAAGCAGTTATTAGTCTTTCCTTGCCTTGGTAACTGGATGTCTTTTGTTTCTCTCATCTGATTACGTAGTCTTTGTCTTTAACCTCACCCTCCCTTTTATAATCTGTAATTTTGCTTGTCTCTTGTTTCTATGATTTGAACTCAACTCAGTACATGGTTACCTAACTTACTAGTCACTATGCATCTAACGCACATCTCATCTTTATTATGTAACTCCTTTACCATTTTCTGCATACATTTATTTAGTTTTAACTTGAACTGTCTGTGTGAAAACTATATAAGCGCAATTTTCTGAGCACTGTTTACTAATTGTGGAAATTTCTGTCAACTGAAAACATGTAAAAATTTGCAAGTATGTTAAGACATGTCTGTACTTAAACCTCATAATTTATTTAGGCTGTAAGCAGCTGATGAGAAGCCAACGAAATAAATAAATGATGGTACCATATTATTCTGCTAAAACTGTAGTTCTTGCTTTGTTCAAATTCATTAAGGGGAATAAATGTATGGAAAATCCACCAGATTATTTAACTATCTTGTTTTTGAAAAAAATTACATCTAATCTAAGAATGTTGAACTGATATTTTTTAAATAGATGACATTAAATTTACTTACATAATCTTCTTCCGATGCCGACCTTGGTTCGAAATGCACCCGTGATTTTGAAGTAACCCGTTCGCCTGATAAGTGTTTGTGAATATCATCCTTCTCAGTGTCATGGGAGTTGGTTACAAATCGACGAATTTCTGATTTATCTACTGGTTCAAGAAGACTAGCCAGTTCACGTGAACCACGGACTTTTACGGTCTTAGACTTTGTTTCAGCATTCTTTGGCGTTCTATTCTCTTCCCTTGAAAACTTATCTGATTTAAGATAAGGTTTACAATCTTGAAGTTGTTCTTCATCTTTTACAAGAGATTCTGACATATTCAAACGTTTCGACATGTTGAACCATGCAGAAGAATAAGCATTGGGATCATTATCTCTGGTATCACAATTGTCCTCCGGACTATCTGCATGCCAAGAACGCTTTCTTAAATTTTCTGCTGAAGTGAAATGGCTGTTAGCGAAAAATTCTGTAGACTCAGCATCTTTAGTTATTGATTTGGGTTTAGTTACACGTTTAGTAGAACGATAACGAATGACTGAACCAATATCAGGTACATGGAAGTAACTATGTTCAATGAGTAGGAAATTAGGCCATGCATATTTGTTTTTTATAGTCTAAAAATAATTTCAGCGTAAAGGATAAACACATTTCTTACCTCTTCAATTTCTACGGATTCAGTTGAATCGCTCTGTGCATTTTCGTCATTCAAATTTTCCAACTTTAACGTTTCCCCGTCATGGTAATAATTACTAGCTGTATTCATACGCTTTATAGGTACTTCCAGGTCATCACAATCTTCTGTGATGCTCTATTTAAGGAATATATAAATCCCAGTGTAAGACACTATAGAGATATAGTATATATATAGTACAGAAAAACGGAGAATTTTCATGATTTCCAGGAATCATACCATTCACCGTAGCCTAATGATATGAAAACTACTTAATTGTATTTTGCATCGATTGATTATATACTGAACTGGAATGTTCGGTCTTTCCAACAATATAGTGTATAACCTGAACAAATAATAACTGACACCTGTTGCATAAGGGGTCGCTCATATGACCCAGTGGATAACACTATGGCCTTTGAAACTATGACTGCTAGGTATAAGTTCCAGGAGAAACACAATCATTCATTGAGAATACAAGTGCATTCAGATGGCGAGTCCCAAAAGGGATGCAAAACACACATCCCGGATTCTACTAATTGTTATTATCTACCAAATGATTCGATACACATAGTTTAGTCTTTTGACATAATGCCATTAGGAAAAATAATGATTACTGAGATAAACTGTATACTGGCCTAATTAGCCATGAAGTCGTTATTGGGTGAAAGTAAACAAAACTGTTTTTCCAAATTACTATTCATCTAGACTATTAACTGTCGAGCTAATAAAGTGAAACATAAACAAGTTACAATTAGAAATCCTAATAAATGTGCACGTAACAGTGATAATGGAAAGTTGCATACTAAAATTAGAAAATAATTAAACATGACTTTTATATTTAGCTACTGTACTTCCTTGAGACGGAGACTATTTCTACCTAATTTTTGAAATCTATCTGGTGAAACCCATGTTGTTTCGTGTATATCCCTTGTGCTTGTATACGTTGCCTCCAATCACTATATCATTGAAGGCGTAGGAATCTAAGGGGACTTCGCCATTCTCATTCATTTTACCAAGGACCTCTCGATTCATGATGAATTCACTTCTTGTATAGTCTGCTTTCAATTTGGAGTTCATATCAACCATTAGGATTTTGATTTCGACACTTGGGTCGTGTTCATCGATGTTTTCAGTTGTCTGTAGAATTCTTCCTTCCTCCCCTGACCTGCGTTGTTTGTAGGAGGTTAACAATGGATAATAATGAATATCCTACCTTTTGAATTGAATCTTGCTGTCATTATCCTTGAGGAAACTAGTACCCACTGCATAAGAGCTTTCGATGCTGTTGGTAACATCATGATAGCCACTCCCACAATGTGCTCGCGATTGTTGTCTGGGTGACTGGAGTAGATTATTGAATCTCCAATCCGCTTCCACTCCATCTGCTTTCACGTATTCAGAGCACTCCTATACTGCACCTTCCCATATCTCTGGGAATATGAGCAGCCTTCACGGCTTCGAGCACTGCGCAGACATTCCATGCCCTCATGATTATTTCTTGCTTTCACTGAAACGAGACATGTCGGCTTTCCAAAGGCTTTCACCAGCCCGCATCATTCCGTCTCTAGGATTTCAGCAAAGAATAAGTTTATTTTTGATACTTTTTTTCTGTGTTGAAGTTTCTTTAGCAATTGAGTTCGTTTTCATGAGTAGGGTCACCAGTCCACGTCCAACTTTTCAGCTTTTTGCGGTCTTAAGATCGCCTAGTAGACTAGTGTACTAGTAAACTAGACGAGGTTTCTGTACGCCTCACTGAAAAAATAACAATCGTACATATTACATGTTTCAATTACCTATATCCCTCAATTTATAAATTACAAAGCGTTTCAGTGTTAAATATTTTGAAAGATAGGCGCAGATTTTGTACACGTTAGGCTTATCAGTAACCGTATTCCGGCATCTTATGTCTTTTGCTATGAAATCTATAAGGATTTCCTACTTTTGTTGTATTATCAAGACTCCAAGTTGTGAAGTTTGATTATACTATCCCGTTATCAAGATCAAATTAAGTGTAACCAGATTTCAAAACCGGGTTTAGCTGGCAAAGAGACAAATATTAAAATACACATGATGGAGATTTGTAGCTCGAGTGGATGATATCGGCTTAGTTGTTTGTATTCTCTGAACTGGACAGTTTCGTTGTGAAGCTTTCATTGTCTCTCTAGATATCTTCAGCGCATACTCTATTTGAAGTTAAATGCTAAAGTCAATCACCTACATCTACATTTTCATATAACTACAATATAACATTCAGTAGTTTTATGAAGTCAAAGACCAAATAACCAATTTATTAATCGATAAAAATACTTTTGAGAATAAGTCTAGTAGTGCGTGTGTGATGCGATATCAATATTACGTTAAATATATAAAAATGAAAGGCTGTTAAATAAAAAACATTTGAGTATAACAATTAACTATGCACTTACTTAGATATGATAATCAGTCAGTGAATAGTTATTTGTGTCATATTTTCTAGCTTAAAGTAGTGACTGGACAGAATCAATCAATCAATTTCATGTTTGGTCACAAGTTGATATCAGTTAGAGAACCACTGGAAAACCAGGGAGTACTGGACAGCAAAATCGTAGTATATTGTATCGATTCGAACAGTACGCACCCACCCCCAGGGTTCGAACCCAGGATCCACAGGTTACAAGGTAAGCTAGATGACTCAGCCACTAGGAGCGGATTCAATGGCCCAGGAATTCCAACTTCTATTAGTTCCCGGTATATATATATATATTCATCAAGACGCACCCACTGGGTTTCGAACCTAGGAACATTCAGGTTACAAGGCAAGCTTGTAGACCCTTCAACCAACACTTGATAATTTCATAATGCAACCAATAAGTAAGATAAGTAAGATATTCCAATTCGAATACCCTAGTATTGATGACACCAATAACAATGATTTAAAGATTTTTTAAACCGAAGCAGCGTCAGTTTTCTGGACGTTGCAATCGAGTTTTTTCCGGGGCAATTTAAAAATGAATCACATCAAATTCAAGCGAAGAGATCAATAATGAAAAAATTATGCATAAAAATTTCAAAATTTACAACGAATGCCACTGTCTACTCGGACGGCCAAATAGTTTGATTAGAATGACTACAGGAAAAAAAGAACATACTGTGCCTTCCTTTTAAATTTATATAATAGGGTAATATGTTTACAACCAGTAGTAACTTAAAAGTGTAGACTCTAAAGTTCAAAATAACTCAGCATATAAATTTCTAGTCTCTATTTATTCCAGGACATTATGTATCTGGTGCAAGCAACGTTAAGACTGCATACACAATATTTTACCTCTTAGTTGTATAATACTTTATATATTATTGTCACTGTTACCTATCACAAAAGTTATTATTTATAGACAACAGTTAGAATGACGACTAATTATGAAACTAGATACTATGCGTACCAGTGAAATGCCATCATTAGAAATATAATTACCAAGAAAAAACAACCCAAATTGAATGAAAAAGATTTATAATGTTCAGAGCATGAGAAACTGCCGATGAAAAAGATAAGAAAGAAAAAATAATTTACTACAGTAGATACCAGTTAGGCTTACCGATAAAGGTAATCTTGGCGACTGGTACGGGGGATATTTATTAACTTTCTGATCGGAAATCAAACTAAATTTGCTTGAACTATCAGATTCAGGAGGCTTATTTCTTTGCTCTGTGACTGATGCATAGTTGTTATCATTTCTGTACAAATTGCCAAGATTCTGTTTTCTACGTGAAATCGCGGATAATTGATAGTCATGCGTCAAGGATTTTGTATAATCCGGAGGCGGAAGTTCCAAAGATGCACGCAATATAGACCAGTCAGGGCGTGATTGACAGTTTAATTGATTAGGTTTTGTGGGAATACGATTATGTACAGGAAAATCCTAGAGAAACAGATATTGGAAAATAAAAACTGATACAAATAACTTTTCGCTAACGGAAGACATATGGTTTATATATATATATGGTTTGAGGAAATTACTGTTAACGCAAACAAGGTCCTAATAACTATAATTCCATACAAGTTGGGATCCCGAGAATGAGTAGACAAAATATTTCTATCTAGATCATGAGTTTCTGTAGAAATTTGAATTAATTCCAGTGCCGACTTCGTCAAGAACCAACATCAGCTAGAGAGATAATTGAAAACCAAGGAGCACTGGGCAGCTGTTTCGTCCTAGTTTGAAATTTTTCAGCAATACACACTCACGAATCCACCAAAGATCGAACTCAGGATCTGCAAGTTACGTGATCCAGCGCTTATTGATCATTTAGCCAAATTGGGTCGGAATCCAATAACCCGTGAATTTTAACTATGTCACGAAATAACAAAGCAAAAAGTTACAGGTTCGATGATGAGCTGATATCAATTACAAAACCATTGGAATTCAGTGGGTCATTGAATTCCTGTCGAAGTGTTCCAAACTAGAACTCAACGGCTATTCACTGCTCCCTGGTTTTCAATGATCTCTCTAAAAGTTGTTGGTTAGCGACGAAATCTATACTGAAAATACTTTTTTTGCATAGAGCACTGTATTATAATGGTAAATAAACACGGCGTAACAAACACCAAAATACGCCAAATTGGTGAGTGAACAATAGCATTCCTTTTATCTAACAAAGTTCAAATTAATACACTACATACAGCACATAGCGGTAGCGAAGAAGCAAAAATTCAGAGGAACTAAAGTGAACGTCTGTCTGTCTGTTTTCGACATAGAACTTTGCACATACGTGCGACTGTTCAAGTCGCCACACTCCCTCCATGTAGCACAGAAAGCAAGAGAAGAAAGTACAAGAAAAGCATAATAGAGACAGTAGGCAGAGATATGAGACAAAAGGAATAGTAATAACGAAAAAAATACAGTTTCATTGGAAATCATAGGTCACAAGGATTGGATGCATCTGCACCAGCCATTGAGAACGATTTTGAGTCATATCACCAATCGTCTCCAACCATTGGTTTTTACCGTCCCGAGGACCCCAACCCAGACAGTAGTCTACACCTTCTTACGTAGCTTAAACTAACTATTGTAGATTTCATTGACTGGTGCCATATTTTGGTTTTGACCCTTTTCCAGCCTAATCCTATGTCAGCTAACATCACCCACTGTCGAGGAAGGTGATGGCTAGGCATGCGTAACACATGTCCTAACCATCTCAGTCGATGTAATTTCACAGCCTCGTCGGTTGATTTCACTCTCCTTACCTAGCACTCGACCGACGCCTAACATCAACATTGCTCACCACTTCACACGGGAGATAGAGAGCAGGCACATATGATCAAAGATAGCTAATCTTTTCATGTCTTCCACTCTCAATGGCCAGGCCTCACAGCCACAAAGTAGGACGGAGCGGACTAATGAACAATACACCCGCCCTTTGGTCGAAAGCCGGATATCACGTCTACTAAGCCAGAGATGGCGTATACTGCAAAACTAGCCCTCAAGTGAAGGTACATGTATTTGTACATATAAGTGAACGTATATGTACGTAAGAAAGCATGAATACATGGAGAAGGATAAGAACTCAATACATCTAGGAGTTCATAAAGAGGGAATTCATCTGCGATACTATGAAAAATTTTGAGGCATGTCACCAACAGTTTCCAGCCAATTGGTTATTCACATTACGAGGATCATTCTAAACTTCTATAACTTCCAAAACCAGTCAAACAATATTCTTATAATCTAATAACTGAAAGCAACTAACAAATATGCAAATTAAAGCCTGAACCAACTGACTGCTAATAAATGTACCATAAGTTTCAATCCTGCTTCACTCACATATGGACAGCTAAAGATCGTCAACAGTCCGCATATAAAAACTATGCTACAGACTAATGAATAAAGCGATCAGATGACTTTCATTTTATAAGCAGTAGTTTTTTTTTACTAGTAATAGGCTTCAAAGTTACGAACAAACGCTTACAACTGAAGTACTGTTATTCATCTGTAAGAGATCATCATCGGAACTGGAGTTTGCAGAGTCCAAAGAACCTGTTAAATTGCATGTAGTCTTCTGAGGACTGAGATGGGATAAATTATTGACCGACTGCTCCTTACTCTTTCGTGGTCTACCTGGCTTTCGCCGATCTTCACTTGCCAACTGCATAGGCTTGGAGACAGGTGACTTCTGGAAAATGGTATCATCTTGGGATCTCTGATTTTCAGTGGAAGTTTCGCATAATTTCGCTTCATTATCATCTGATTCCTCCAAAGCACTCTGAAAGAGAAGAATCATCAATCAAATATATCAATTTTTTGTAGCCAAATTATTTTCATTTAACGATAAACACAAAACCAATATACCCAGAGCATGACAGCTAGCCCAACGACTATTCAGCCACTGGGATTGGCATTCAATGACCTGAGAATTCTATCTTTGTTAAAGTGAAGTGGTTACTCATAGAAGGCATCGGTGAGGTAGCGCTGTATCACGAAAACATCAAGTTGGGATTCACAGATCACTGAACTTCAGCTCAAGTGGATGAATGGTCGATGGGCTTGTTTCGCAGACTAAAGGTTCGAGGTTCGACCCTTGATGGGGTAGTGGATGCGTAATGTTGAAGAGCCTCAAAAAAGAACGAAACAAATGCCCAGTGTTCCCTTGTTCTCAATGATCTCCCTAACTAATGTTGGTTAATGACGAAATCGAAATAAAAAACTTGTCTGATTATTTTTAAGATGATGGTCATATTTATGCTATTTGGGATGAATTTATACATTTTCCCACTTCCTACTCTCGGCATCCTAATTTTCCATTTAACTTCCCTTCTTTCAAAAAAATTAAAACGGTAACGTTTTTGAATTGTATTTCTATTAGTAATCGATTGACTCCCATACATTCTATATGTGTGCATTCGTATAATTTGAATACAGTTGCACAGCATATTGTGAAGTCAATATCTTACTAGCTGTTCTGCAAGATTTGGAATGATTAAATTTTTTTTTCTTGTTTTACTAAGCAGTAGAGTTATTCATGAGTCGAGTACAGAGAATGACACATAACGGGTTTTAAGTTGTCCTAAATATGTAACATCCAAATAGACTGAATAAATTTCTAGTGAATTCGAAAATAAGCACATCTGAAAAGAAAACGTATTTAATTTTCGTCTACATCAGTAATGAAGCAATCGCCCAACAAATATGCAGGAGAAAGTGGAGATGGAGTGGACACTCGCTGAGGAGGCCGCTGGGTGACATCACGCGCGCGTCAGGTCATTGCTCGAGAGGAACCCGACAGAATGGGAAGCGGCGAGTGGGACGTCAGTGCAAGGATGATAGGGAGGAGATCGTGTGAAGAGAAGTTGAAACAGTATGACCTAACATGGATGGAGACGAAAAGTAGAGCAGAAGACAGAAGCAAGTGGAGACGTGCAGTTGAAGCCCTATGTTCTACTAGGAACCCAAGGGAACAATAATAACAATAAGTAATGAAGCATAATTTATCAAGTCATCGTTACAAGTAAAACAATCATTACCTCTGATTGTGAGGAATTCGGTGAAGAATGAATATCATCATCACCACTGGATTTGTCATTTTGCGTAGGTTCAGAATGAAAACTCTCAACAGGTGATAAACGATTGTGAATAGAAGACTTAGAGTCTGATAAATCAGATATATCGGATAAATCAGATAGTACATCAGATGGATACTTCTTATATCTATTTGCTTCTTCAGGATCGTTTTGTGGTTCAGTTGATGGACCAGAACTTTCATCATCATTATCATCATCACCTGATGATAATGAACTTGATCCAGTAGAGCTTGCAGAACTGTTAACATGAAAATATTGTTTAAGAAAAAAAAACATTCGTAGATACAAAACAATATAGATACAATACAAAAACAAAATAAAGTAATCTCAGAGACATCTTAGGTAAGACAGTAACACTTATTTTAGTGCATCTACAAACTGGAACACAAGAAAGAAGATGCTAAGTAATTTCGGAGGACACCACTGGTGATGGTCATTTCAAATGGAAATATGAGGACATGTATTTGTAACAAGCTGAATCCGACTGTGTATTTCTATGTGTTACATTCAGTTACAAAATAGAAACAGGCAGCTAGCGACAGTAGGCATTCACATAGTCGAATTCTTAAGCCAATGTCAAATTCTCTGTTTTTGTCGGCATTTTAGCTCCTAATACGGACGTTTCCATGATGTATGGAGATTAACATATTATTTTGGTTGATGATGACTAACAGTGGAATCCCGAGTGTGCATTTCGTCTGATTTATGACTCGCCAAGTGAATTTCCCTTGCATCTCCAGTGAATGATAACATCTTAACTGAGACTCAAACTCAGCACCGATCGTTTCAAACGCCAAATCATTATCTACTACTTCACAGGGCCACGAGAACAACCTCTCTTGTTAAATCACTATCATATATTATCTATTTAAGCTAATTTTGTATTTCCTAATGATCGATTATATTAGGCCAAAATGTACATCCTGAATTTATATGCTAGTCACCATCCATCGAATAACAGCATTTTAATCCGTAGACATACATGAAAACGATGTTAGATGGTTGAAGTCAGTCTGCAGGAAGCAAGAGTTTAGTCTGCACCAGGCGAAGAACTAGACACATGATACTAATCACTACCTAAATTACAATAAATAAAAAAACACTAGAATATGTCTAAATTCTGGTTCATGTATAGCCATATGTATTTGAAAAGCATTCGCTGTATACCCTTAACCATCATTATTCGCATTTTAATTTGCCACTCACACCACATTTACGTTTCTATTGCCCTGACAATTTTCTAGATTGTGAGATATAACCTCCGATTTTAGTGAGTAAACAGTTTATCAGATCACATAGACAGTTTTTGTTTAAGTTACATAACTAAATTACACTTTTCATGTTGCCTACAATATACGTAGAGGAAAGATATATAGTCACAAACATGTAACTGAATCAATACTTATCCCTTGATGCCTACATTCTGGAGTTTTGTGAATGAAGACTAATAATATGGTGAGAGCAGGCTGCTAGCCAATCGGTATGCACTAATTTATGTCAATGTCTGGGTCACTAATATTGGTCGTGAGAAAATATGAACAAGGCTGATTCAACAACCAATCACAGCAGACTTAACGTGGGCAAATAAGATTCGCTTGACTATCCGAGAAACCAGAAACAACCAATCAGAAGACTGTGTTTGTCTGCTTGAATAAGCTATAATAATGTACATGAAATATATATCAATACGTGCTGATTTCCGTAATAAAACGATCTGTTGCCGGCCCTTATCTTCTGTTGTTACAATAATACAACCTACATGGATAGTCAAACTTATTTAGATAAAGCAACATAAGAATCCGTAATCTGTTGGGTTAAGAGAAACTTAATGTTCATACCAATTAGCTGGTTACAACTTCACTCTAAACACATTGAAGATATAAAATAAATAAATGTTTAATAATATTATACCTTTTAGTAAATACATCCGAAACTGGCACAGCTGCTCTACGAGGAAGTGTTTTTTTAGGCTGTATACTCTCATCATCATTATCACTGTTCGATGATGATGATGATGACGACGTATAGTCACTTGTATGTACATTTGCAGGAGACTGACTACATTTAAATGATACTTTAGACGGTGATTGCTTATATTTACATTTCTCATCAACATCGGAAGATTCAGAGTGTCTTTCATAATGGCGTTCATTTGACTTTCTTGATTTTTCTACACGAATATTAGGTGTTTGTTTTGATCGCTCAGTAGAACTTTCACTGCCTGAAAGAGATAAGGAACACCAAAAAGACTATATGAGTAAAATGTTAAGTTCTGATGACTTACATAGAGAAACCCCGGCCGATAACTGCTACCTCGCAGTGGTGGTCGGGCTTGAATACCTCAATGACCCAACAAGCTAAACTGACTGGGACTCTGTCCCTGCAGGTCCTACCATTTCAGGAAGGCTTTCTGGATAGCGGTTAAACTAGAAGCAGTTACCATGGGGTACATGGGCTCCAGTATCCAATCGGATCGAATGGCACATAAACCCATATGGGTCACTGGGAACCATGGGAATGCAGCTCCTGACGCTGCTCCGCTGCCTTCCGGATTAGACTCCAAGTCAAAGGCTCGGGGGGTGGTCCCTTAAGAAAACCACCTGCTTCGGCCTGGGCGCCCGGGCAGTATCTCAGCCCTCACACAATGAATGAAATAAAGCAACAAACTCTCATTGCAATTTCCTTCTTTCTTCCCTTCCCGATGACAGTTAACGAATACTGTTTGAACTTGTTAAGCATGAGTGTTTTCCTTCCAGATGAAGTTCTTTATCCGTTCTCTACTTATATTTTTTTCTTTTCCTTCTTTTTTCTTTTGATCTATGTTGTTTTATTATTATTGTGTGGTGCATCCTTCTTGGTGCCATATTGTACCAAGTTTTTATGCGTTTAAATAAATAAATAAATAACATAGAGAAACACGTTCAGGGAAATCTTGTTTTAATTTTTCAAACAAACTGCGATTATTTTAAGTAATTTTTTTAATGATTTAATCAGACTCAGTGCTCAAATTATTCCACGAAACTTGCAATACATATGGTCTGAATATTTTTATAATCTTGTTAATATGTAAAGTTAACCAAAGAATTACTGTCTAATATAAAATTCAAAGGAAAAAAGAATGCTAGATAAGAATGTTTTGAGATCGTCTTCGTAACCTCTGTACCAGGTATCAAAAGTCGCATTCATTCTACGACTGTAGTGAAATCCAGAAGGATAGTCACCCAAATAAAATAAACTGCCTTTAACCAAGTAATACGACCAGAGTAAAAGTACGATTCATGAACAATTCAGGTGCATTTAGGGCGAAAACAATAAAAAAAATGCTTGTCAAAAGCCGAAAATAAAATAACAGTCTGAAGCATACAAAGGAACATACAAAGGAATTTGATTTTCATAAAATAATATTTAAAAGCTGTCACAAGGAGAAGAAGAAAATGAAGATTTGTGGGGGTGTTCAAAAACCTGAAGATAATGAAGAATGATTGATCGTGTATGCCACCGTGAACTATTTTGAGTCATGTCACAGACAGATTCTAAACCTGATAGTTTACAACTCTACTTGTAGTTCAGACTCTAATAGCCAACAACTTCATAAGTTGGTATATTGTTGCGATTTGGTCATCGGCACAACAAACATCTTCAGATATTTTACTTATTTATTTTTATTTTTGATTACACCTTGATTCCGCACTGTATTTTTGGTACAAGTATAGAATTTTAAGCATGGATATCGGTAGCCCAAATTTTACAGGCCGACCATAGATATCAGGTGTGCGTCGGCAGGGGATCGAACCTCGGACCATGTGTATGGTCGGAGAGAGTCCTAACCACTGTACCACCAACGAACAGTTTACGAAGCTCGCATAACTACGCCTTATCAGTGTATTCATTTAGTATGTCAGTTTTCAAGAAAACAGAAATAAAACGGAATTATCTCTCTACACGAGTGTTTTTTTTCTTTTCACACCCATTCATTATTCCATTCTTTACAATGAAACCAATTAGTCATTACTAATAGTCTAATTAGAAAAGTAGTAAGTACTTTGAAATGAATGAAACTACTTTGACACGCTCCTAATGGACAGACGTGATATTTTGCTTTATTTTAGACAGGAAAATTCAATAGGTAAACACTAACTAAATGAAAATGGTAATGATAAACGATAGATAATACTGGATATAATGCACCAGTCTTCAAAATTGTTTTCTGTACACAAAGAATTTACGCATTATGGATCAATGGCAGGAGGATTTTGGTGATATGGTTCCAAACCATTCTCAAAGGCATAGATGCATTCACTGTTTGTAATCTACTAGATCTATTAAATCCTAATGTTTCTTTCCATGTTATTATTCTTTCTTTCACACATTTCTGCTCGTCATAGTTCCCTTTGAATTTTATTTGTTTCTCCACTTTTGTATACTACATGAAGTGTGGTAAGTTGAACTATTGCACTTATGTGCAATGATCTATGTTAAAACTCAGTACAGTCAAACAGATGAGCTGAAAATGATTCTACTGAGAGTAAATAACTATGACTCAGTAACTCCACTTATCAACCGCACACATGACAACTTATACAGATATAAGCTACAGTTACTTCTTTAAAAAAAAGATTGTAATTACATTGACTACATGAAACTCAGTCATTCGAATGACAATGATATATTTATTATACTGATTGGTACACAAGTACTATTTCCAATGAAGCAGTTATATTATTTTAATCTCATCGTACGATATTAAAATGTCTAACAATATACTTTAATTTATCAACTTTACAAGCTAAAAACTTGATGAAAGTATACACAACTTCATAAAGCCAGGCTACATTTATCAAGGTACCAGCAATAATTAATCCACCTGGACATTTTGTTAACGTGAAAAATACCAATATAATCAGACTATGGGTGAATAAATAAAATATTGTGGAAAATCGCTAACTCTATCCAATGACAAGAAATTTACACAACAGACGTCTCATAAAGACCTCAATCAATAGACGGAGCTAAAACTGACAAAAATACTGAAGGGAATGGAAGATAAGTCATTTATCAGCAAGGATGACTTTGTCCGTCTTAGTCACATTATAAAATATATGTGGAATATGAACAAACCTGAAGATCCGGAAAGTTTTCTGCAACGAGTAATAACATAATCATTGTCTTCATCTGACCATGAAGTTTCACTTCCTTTTCGTGTCCGAGATTGACAAGATTTCCAAACCGGAGATCTTGTAGGCTTCGTATCACATTCACGAGGGGAATTTATATCGTGATTATTCTGAAAAGTGGGAGACTTATTTTTTGACGGTGAAGCACTGGTGTTTGCAGATGGTGATGGTGGAGTAGGTGGACGAGGTTTGCGTCTGATTTTCGGTAAGGCGGATCGCAAACCAGTGAACATACCCAAACCAAAAAGTTTAAAGTTGGAAGACAAAGAGCTATCTGAGATATTTGGTGCAGAATTATTAGGAACGGCATTAGACACAGGTGGAAAAATGGACTGATTTGTTTGTCCTTTTTGGTCGATACGTGATAATATAGCAGTATCATGAGATGTATTGGACTTATCTGTAGGATTAGTACACACATCATCTTTGGTTTGATGTACATTATTCGCCGACAACAGTGGTTTAGTATGATTCTGCAGATAAAAAAAGACTTAAATCAATCAGTAGTCTAATAATAATGGATTCAAAACAATATTCAAGATTCCACAAAAATAAACTGAATTATAGAGTTACATGACTAGAAACAAATAGGTCTGAGTAAATCAAAACCTTAAAACTTAAGTCCATCTAATCAACGATGACAGCTAAAAATTTATGAATTTATAAAAAGTTCGAAATAATTGGTGGAATGTTTGTTTCTGATAAGTCAGTATTCAGCTTACATATACCACTGACTTTGTATTGTAATCAAACTTGTGCACTCCAGAAAATAGAATGACAATTATTTCTGTAATTACAAAGACTTCATTTCGACAGTGTGAAATCATAAGCAACTGTTTTATGGTGTACAATGCTATTACCAAGGAGTTCTGGAGATAAAACTATGCAAATGACTGGACAGGGAAATGATAGAAGTAAGGGGTTGCTGTGACTGACGTTCAAGACGTAATATATCTATATTCTGAGAAGCAGAGAAAAAGGAACACCAGCTTTGAAAATGATATATCCCACATCCCGCAAGAGACTTAAGCGGTCAATTAAAAGTGTTGTGTTCTAAACCAGTGTCGACAGATAATGAGCTATTAAAGAATAGCTGAAACCCCCTCTAACTGTCCCTTGATACTTTCATCTTATTGTCTGATCCTCCTGCTTGTGAATTAACTACTGATCTATGTTTGTCAGTTATAGCTTCACTAGTTCTCCAACGCTAGTCTATTTTATAAATCTAAAAAAGTATCTGATGTCAAGTAACGTCAATGCCTTTTTCGTTTCTCTTTCTTGATCCCTCATTGAGCTTTTTTTCTCAATGAATCTGATGTTTTAAGGTGAACTTTTATTGAAATTCTAGTGACATACTGATTTACTAATAGTAAAAATGAGTAAACATTATACAAGCACACACCTCTGAAAAGTTTACAAGTCAGTTCAAATGAGAACACTACTACTTTTGTTTCATGACTGGGTTCAGCGAAAAACGTCAACGAAATGATAAACTAGACACATAACTAATTTAAAGACAGACAAAATTTCTCGATCTAGACTTTCAGCATAAATAAAATTACATGAAAGCCAAAAAAAGTGTTTAGACTAACGAAAGTACATTTTGTTTCGCATATGACAAAATGGTATGATTAAAAGTCCGCATTACACTTAAAATCCTACTTAAATGTGCAAAAGCCAACAATGAACTTGGCCATAAAAACTTGTATGGAAAAATCTAATCGCAGTGCAAACTGTTTACACTTATTTTAAAGACTCACTTTGCACTCTCGATCCTTGGAATCCCACCAATCTGAAAACAGCTTGAATGCTTGACCTTCAACAAGCTTTCGAGTCATATCCCGCTGGATTATACTCCGCAATTCGTTTATGAAAACTATGTGGACATCTTCAATTATCTTCACAACTTCCTGAATATTACAAGGTTTATAAGGAGTTTTCAAAAGCGGTGGGCGATGTAGACTAAATAACGGTCCCTTGATATTTTCACTCGATACTTCAGGTGTAGGTAGAAGAGTACGACGATTAGATGAGGGACTTGTCACTATTTGTGTGTTTTTCGATGATTCAGAATGAGTATTTCCTTTCTGTATTAACATTTTGGAAGGCCCTTCTGACTGTTTGATATCATCCAGTTTATCATGCACATTAGTTGACTGGTACGTTTCTGAAGTAGTAGGAAGGTTGCCGGTAACTTTGCAGCTAGTATCCGAAACCACTGGACAGTGTTGAGCATCTTTTAGTTCAGAAGTCGACTGTACAGGGTTCAGTCTTAGTAATTTTTGTATACGGGCTTCCAGAGACTCTTCACATTGTCGTAACTTCTGAACCTTCGCATCATCCTGGTTATTGCAGGATGTTTTATGTGCGACTGTATTCACTTCAGATGTTTGCATGCGGTCTGTGATTACGTCATATGTACTCTTTTCTTGGGGATTTGAAATATCTGATATTTCGCGTTGTACACGTGTTGACATATGAGGGATATCTGTAATATCATTGTTATTCAGAGCATGTACTGACTTTTTAGAATGTGAGTATGTTCTAAACTCCAACTCCTGTTTGTCAACGGACTTTGAAAAAATATGTGATTTGGATGATGTCATATAGTGTGTTTGTGATAAACTTTCAGGTACAATAGCGTGACCACCAAGATTGGAATATGAATGAGGTTGATTTAAATGAGGATCATAAGAAGTATGGTGATAAACTGAAGAGCCATGTGATGATAAACTGGGTGGTTTTTGAGCACATGTTGAGTTGGTAAAATGCTTATCTGAAAATTGCTGGTCATTTTGTTTTAAAGGAATTAGATCTGCCATTTGTTCAGCAATCAAACGAGCTCTAATTTTTCCTAAAAAAAATGTCAATAAGGGCAAATATCATTTACCGAAAGGATCCACTTGGACAGTCATAATGTTTCCCATCTTTGACGTTTGGTTAAGATGCTCCACACAAGTTCTTGCACTTTTTGAAGATGTAAAAACCACCTGTAGGGTAAGACATTAGAGTAAACCTTAACATACAGTTCCGATACCAAGGTGACGTTGTGTTTTAGGATGATAATAGATTTTTGCTTCTACAATTGTGCCAAAATGACGACACATTTCTTCTAAGTTTTTGAAGGTAATATTGTCGTTCAGATTGGAAAACGTAATTTCTTTCTCCGGTTTTTCACCGACGTAATATGCATCAATCTACCAAATGTCATTATTAAAATAAGTAAGAATAACCTTAAAACAAGGGATAGGCAAATCAATGACTGGTTTTTTGCATAAATTTCTGAAGTGTAGAGGACGTCTAGGATCAACGACTGGGTCTGGATCTGGTTCATTTCGCTTTAAGAGAAGATAATAAAAGCAATCAACCTTACTCCTTCCACGATGCCATCAACTCGATATAAGAGAGTTCGACAAGAAGGATTTAGCTCTGGATCCCATAGCAATTTTGCAGCAGTAAAAGGAGCTGGTGGACGACTGCTCATAATAGGCTGGAAAATAAAATGAAACAAGTTACTCATTGCTATCATTTATTTAAAAAAACGTTTAGGAACAATTTAACGGCAAGAATCACGTATTTTAGGTGAAGCAGAAGGAAACAGAAAGAGAACTCACATTTAAGGTGCACGAATAGTTGTGTCTATTAAGAATTTTCGTCACAACAGTTTGCGTTTCTAAGACATTTTTAACACACATAGAAAATGTACCAAATATAAATTCGCACGACATTTATGAATTGTGTAATTAACCTCAACATTATTACAAACGCTGCATTGGATCTTAAAGGGACGGTTTAAACATTTAGGACTGTAGAGTTTACGGTACTTTGAGAATGGATCCTACAAAAACGGCTAGTAGACTCATAGTCTACTTTGATTTCAGTTCTAATGAAGCAAGCAAATTCCAAAACACTGAGGCAGTCACTAAATTTGTTTTGCTGACCTTAGAAATAAGTCTTAATTGTAGTGGAAAAGGTGTATTTTTAGACAGCTTATAGTGGAGTTTCAGCAGGGCAGTACGTTTCGTTCATTATAAACATAAAATTTGGAGTTTGGAACATTGTGATAAAGTTTGTGTAAAATAAACATTTACAGGACATTATCAGGGTACTACAAAAAGATACACAAGAGTTTGTTGATGTCGAACTACACTAGCTAGCACCAATTTCAAGTATAAGCAGTGCTTGAAGTATGGATTAAGTCTAATAAATTACAGTAAGGAACTACACAAAGCATAATAAGAATGTAAATTCCCCAATATTTAGGAGCGATTCTATGGGGACTACTGGATGATTGATGTCAATTTAAGGGATTCATGAGTTGCACATGTGGACCTAGTTCTCTAAAAACTTCTAACAGAAATGAACATCTAATCAGACCATACACATAGTTCCTGAGGAAATTTTATAAAAGTACTTCACAACGACAGTGGATTTCCAACCAGGCTGCAGTTATCTGGAGATTAGCTGGTTACCATATTTTTTGGTGGCAGCTGCTGTGTTAGTGTTTCAGTGAGCTGAATCATCAAGAAATGTCATACTACGGCTATAAATGGTCAATAAGCACACCACACAGGACGCAGAATTATTAGCAAACACAGTTTACCGGATCAGAAAGTAATGTCCTCAAATAATACTGTGGGCAAAAGCAGTTATTAAGCCTTATTAAACATAAATATATACTCTTCCAATAAAATTTTGACCTTCCCATTTAGGATATACAAATACATGTGAAAAAAACCTAGCTTATCAAGTGAATACAAACCAGTGTAAGTGTATCATTACTATTTCATCAGCCAGTAACACTAGATACACAATCAATAAGTTCAAGAACAGTACCTGACCTCATAAAAATTAAATCTAATAATGCGAACTCACAAGCAATATAGCGCCTCCAAAAAACTGTTCAAGAAGTTACAGTTAATCATCTATATGAAAAGACGGACGCAGAAACAGAACAAACAACGCGCGCATAGCTGGCCACTAAAAACACCGCCAAATGCACTGAGTATATTGCATTGTAAAAATACCTCCCCTAACAGAAGTTGTTTCCAACACTTTATGTACTAAAATACTGTTTGAATGATTTTTCACTAAAGTTTAAGTTAAATAAGTGTTTCAGAAGTTTGAACCAACATCTACACAAGCTTGTGTACAGATATCTCAAAATTTCACAATAAAATTCCCTTCCATGTTTACCGCAATTTCATAAGGAACCGTCCCATTTATTTTAGTATATGGCATTAGGCACAAGATGTGCCTACCAGGTTCATAGGTAATCAGCTTATGCTAACTTCAGTCTTCGCGAAGGAAAAGTTAAGTAGGATGTGTCTATCCTGTCGAGTCTTGGATGGCAGTAATTTCGTTTAAGCAACACACATCAGTCAAGTCTGTAGAAGAAATCAGCTAAATTTTCCTGGTTTGATGTTTTCCTTTATCCTCAAAATAATCCCTTCTCTGTGCGTCGGTAGCATAGTGGTTAGGACGCTCGTCGACCATGCACAAGCCCGGGGTTCGATCCCCGGCCGATGCACACGTGATACCAATGGTCGGCCTGCTGAACTTGGGCTACCGATATCACATGCTGAAAATTCCATACTTGTATCAAAAATACTGTTTGGAGTCAAGCTACAATAAAAATAAAATATAAATAAATAAAGGTGTTTCCCTTTAAAGGTGCTCAATATAAATTCTTTTGGATGGGATGGAGAAGATTTGTAGCTCAGGTGAATGATTTTGATGTAGGTGTGCCCTCTGAGATGGATGGTTTATCTTTCATTGCCCTACTAGGCAATATCTTCAGCACACACTTCAGTTTGAAGTGAGCTTGTAGACTTCTCCAGAAGTTTGCTAGTCATCTCTTCTGGTGACCTTGAACGTGATTCGTTGCTTTAGTGTATTTTCCGACCCTCTAGGATACTTGTATCAGACATCATTTCGACTGGGACAACGTTCAAATATTAGATAGAGGAAACACCTAGAATGCTGGAGAATTTTTAGAAGCCTGATGTTCCAGTGAGTCGTCAATAAGTTGAAATATTGACATAGAAGAAATCTACCAATCGATAAGAAGGAAATCTCACACAAAGGGTCAGGGTTAGGTCAGGGAAACAACCAGCACCAATGCCAATACAAGTAGCCTAGAGGGTGGGAAAATACACTAAAGCAACGAATCACGTTCAAGGTCGCCAGAAGAGATGACTAGTAAACTTGTGGAGAAGTCTACAAGCTCACTTTAAACTGACGTATGTGCTGAAGATGTTGCCTTGTAGGGCAATGAAAGATAAACCATCCATCTCAGAGGTCACACCTACATCAAAATACTTTCCATTGATTGAATGATGTGCGGGACATTCCAAGCACTAATACCCGTCAGTTCAAGAGTTAGTGGGTTGTGTGGCTGGGAAATATATCCAACAGAATAAATGATCACAAATAAATTCAGTACATTACATCTAAAGGACATGAAGCTTTGTTATATATCCCCCCTA